GGATGCTGGCTGAGCCAGGACAGGCCCAAGAGCAGCCCAGTAGCACTCAGGCGTGAGGACAGTAGCAAGGTGGGCCTGGCCCTGAATCCTACAGTCTGTGTGTGGTGACCTGTGACTCAATGCACACTTGTGTGGGATACACGGGAAAGGGTCTGCTGTTCCTATTCTATTTAAGAATACAGATTTAATTGAGGAGCAAACTATGGCCTGGCACACTCTTTTTGTAAATAAAGTTTTATTGGTACACATCCATGCCATTAGTTGACATATTGTTGGTGGCTGCTTGTGCTATAAGAGCAGAGTTGAGTAGTTGCAACAGAGACCATTTGGTTTGCAAAACCTGGACAGTTTCCTATCTGGCCCTTCACAGAACAACTTTGCTGACCCTGGCCTGAACAGAAAGCCAGCCAGGGTGAGGATGTGCAACTGGGGCTTCCCTAGAGGGGGATACAGGTGGACCAGAACTTACAAGGGGCTGTGGGGGATTTCTGGAAACAGGAGTCAGGGGTGGGTGGCACAGGTCAAGCCAAGGCCCTGAGGTAGGTGAGCTTGGCTTTAGAAGACAGTGATCTGACTGGGGAGTCAGAACTTCAGGAGAGAAGCCCTGAACTCAGGCAGGGCCCAAGGCTCTCCTGTTTGGAGTCTGTCAGAAAAGAAGCTGCTTCATGGTGTAGACTGCAGGGGGCCCACTTTGAGGCACCTGCTGGCAGCTGCAGGTTATAAAAATGGTGAAGCGGAGGGTGGGGCCTGGGCCACAGGAGAGCACCTCCCCCTGTGCTCCCCCAACCCCTTGACTAACTGGGGCCACAAGGAGCTGTGGGCCCAGAGCTTCCAGACCATCTGATTTCCAAGAGAAGCTGACAGTCTGGTTTTCATGAGAAATTTCCTGATTTTTTTCATGTTTGCAATTAATTCCATTTTCTAAAAAATCATGAAGCAGGCCAAGCACACATGCATCTGGTGTGTGGGCCGGTAACCCAAGTGTCCGGGTGGCAGTGAGGATGGGGCAGTGTGTGTAGACTGCAGGGAGCTGCCAGGCCTGGGGCCCCAGAGGCCCCTCTCTCGAGGTCGGCCAGCAGGAGGCTAGAAGGGAGCCTGGGAGGGAGGGGGCACGGGCAGGGTCAAGTTTCCTGTTCTCCCATCCTGTCCCAGACTGGTGGAACATTCCTGCCTGCAGGCTGGGGGAGGGAGGTGAAACTGAACATCCTCCTTGCTCACCTGGCAGCTCCCAGGGGGAATCTTATGCCAGGGGTGGGAGGTACCGATCTCCCAAGGCCCCTCTGAGATTCTCAAGGGTTTGGGTCCGGCCCTGTGCGGTGATGGTCAGAGGCTGGGTTTGCAGCTTGGCAGACCCAGATGGACCCCTAGCCTCATGGTTCCCCGGCCCCTGCCACCTCTGAGACCCGGGGACCACCCCTGGTGTTGCAGGCTGCCGTGAAGATCCACGAGAAAACAGCTGTGACAAGGCTGGGTGCCCATGACATCCCAATGTGCCTGCTGTTGGACCTGGCCCCTGGGATGGGGTTCTGTTCTCCCCAACAGCATCTGGGGCATCTGGCTATTTTTAGCCTCACACACCAGCTCTCACCTGCTGATTTAAGCTGCTGGTTTCCAAGCTCTCCCTGCACCGCTGTGGGTTTATTATTTGCTTAAGGCAGGACTCTTGGATGCAAGGGACAGCAACCCAGGTCAACTTGGCTTAAGCAAAGAAGAAAATTCCATGGCCCGAGGAACAGGAGCTATCCCTGAGGGACAGGAACTATCCCAGGGTAACTGTAGCCTCAGGCAAAATTGGATTCAGGTGCTCAAATGATATTATCAGGACGCTGTCTTGTTCTGTCTCCCAGCTCTGCTTCTCTGTTACCTTCATTCCCAGGCCCCCAGTGTGGTGGCAGAAGGGTCATCCTCACAGGAACCTGGGTGGGGGTGGGGGGTGCGTCTCTGTCTCCATAGCAACAGTCCCAGGACTGATTCCTGCTGGCCCAGAGTGGTCACATGCTTGGCCCAGACCCATCGCTGCTCAGGCCTCCTTTCACCCCCAGCGTGAGCTGTGGAGGAGGGACTGGTTTGGGGGGCAGGCACAGGTGATCCTGCAAGAAAATCAGGATGTGGATGCAAGACTGGGAGGTGGAGGCTGGGCGCCCCGAAGCCGCCCGTGCCCGCCTGCTCTCCCAGAACCGCGCTGACTTCAGGCTTAGTTCTCCAGCCACTTTCCCACATTCTTCCTGTGCCCCACGATGTTATCAGGAGCTTGCTGCAGGGCAGAAGTAGGGCTACACCAGTTCCACAGCCTGTCCCCCCACCTCCCAGGTTGGGGACCCTTTTGAAAAAGGAAGGCAAACTGGTTCTCACAAGCCCCTGTGGGACCCTCATGGTGACTTCCTCTTCTCAGGGGCCCAGAAGGCAGCTCTTTAGTAATCCCGGCGCTGCCTGGCTGGCCTCGGATGGGAGGCTCACCACTCCCTGCATCCCCCTTTTCTTTGTTTTCCAAATGCAGGGACTACATTCCCCTCCATCACTGGGAAAGACACCTCAGTTCCCTGCATGGAACTTGCTGGATCCCAAGATGCCGTTGAGTCTCTTAGGATGACTTCTTGTCCGTTCATGGTTGCGTTGATTTCCCCCTTTCTGGAAGGCTTGGTCCTTGAGGGAGGAGGCTGAAGTCCCATGCCAAAGAACAAGTCTGGGATGAGGCCCGGCAGTCCCAGGGGAGGCCACATGGCTCTGGCCTGGTCACAGACCCTGGAGGCCTCTCCCGGGCCCCTCCCCTTGCCTGAGTCCTCAGGGTCATGAGAAGAAGGGACCTGCCTTTTCAGGATCACAAAATGCTCTTTGACCCCTAACCACATGTCAGGACGAGGGATCTGGTCTTTGACTTGTCATTATTCACCTGAACGTTGCATTTTGTAGACACCACAATGGCCAGTGATCAGGAGAAACGGGGTGAAGGTACTCTAACACTGCGGGTCACCCGCAGGTTGCATCCCTTGGGCTGTGAGATGTGTCCGCGGCTCATTTCCCAGCTGTGCTCTGGTCATGATGCGGCTGGGGGACTGCATCTGATCTGCAGGGGTGGGAGGCAGCCCGGGGGTGGGGGGCAGGGATAGGCCTGGTGCCCGAGTTCCCCCAAGCAGGCTGAGCCATGAGTGGCTGACCCCGGCTTGACTGGATGGAATGTCCTTCTGTGAATTGCTCGCCCTGGTTTTTCAGCTGTGGGATGGTGACGCAGGGAGGTACTCGGTCCCTCAACTCCTGAGCATATCCTGCTTTCTTTGAAATCTTTTGATGATTTCCTCCTCCAACAGAGAGAGGGCTTGATGTGGGGCCCTGGGGCTCAGACAGGAGAATCCGTTGTCCACTCCCACCTTAAATCTGGCCACTCACCTTTGGGGACACCTGCTGCAGCCTCCTCCCTGGTCCCCTCGCTCCCCAACAGTCTAGTCCCTGTTCTGCTCTTTGTAAAACACACGCCTAGTTACACACAAGCTCCTGGTCACTGGCTTTACTGGCTTCATCCGCATCCACACACTGACCTGGGACTAGACTGAGCTGTTTTGGTGCCCCAAGCCACCACGCCCACAGTGCTGGCTACATGCTGTTCCCTTGCCTGCAGCCCTCCTGCTGGGCGCTGGGGCCCCAGGTGGCCCAGCCTCCAGAAACCTCCCTGAGCCCCAAGAGGGGTGGCGCCTCCCCTGCCTGGTGAGCCTCTGGCCTGTAACCCTCCCTATGCGGCAGTGTGGTTCCTGTTGGTTTGCCCCCTGGTGACTGGGACTGCATTTTACAGCGGCGGCCTCAGTGCACAGAATCCAGGGGTGCTGAGCGGATGAGCACCTGGAGGGGTGGGGGGTGAGGGGGTGGGATAGGCCTCACCGTCAAGCCTGAGCTGCCCCGCCGGGGCAGCACTGTGTCGCTGTGGGAACAGGCACAGTGGGGGAGGGTACGTGGGGCACAGAGCTCTGGGAGAGCAGGTGCCTCACCTCCTGGCCCTGGCTTTATGCCTGCACGCAGGGCTTGGCCAGAGCTGGGTCTCAGCTGCGGGCACAGAGGTGGCCAGGGGATGAACAGTTGAGGGATTTGTGGGTGAGGAGGGGAGGGTGGTGACAGGGGCCCTGGATGCAAATGTGCAGAAGGACCTCCTCCCTCTGCACCCCCTGAGCCCCACACACCTGCCCATCTCCCGCCGGCCACTGGGAGCATCAGCCTAGCGGCCTAGCAGGCCCCTCCCTCCTCCAGTGGGTCATAGCATTTCCCTCAGCCCTGGCTCCCCACGAGAGTCAAGTGGGAGCTTGAGGGACCCCGTGCGCAGGCCACCCTCAGACCAGTGACATCAGACTCTCCTGTGGGCCCAGGCAAAAGCTGTCGCTGCTCCTGGGTGAGTCCAGGGGCCCCTGAGCTGGAGAAGCAGCCTGTGAGGTGGCCCCCTGTGAAACTGGTTTTCCTCAAGGTGTGTATGTGCCTGGAGCTTGGAGAGGGTTGCTTGGTGGAACACCCCCTGTTCCCAACTTCCCCTCAACAAAAATCCACACCAGAAATAAGTAAGCGCTTCTTGAAATGTTTTTTTTTTAAGTAATATATGCATATGGCACAAACTTCAGGCTGCACAAATGGATCCCCAGCGAAAGGGCGATCAGCCACGCCCGAGTCCCTCTCCCAGCAGCAGGCCCCGTGCCTGACCACCGCGTGGAGCTGGCCTGTGCATGCACACTGCCCATGTGGGCAGGCCCGAGGGGCCCCTGCTTCTGGCCTGGTAGCATGAGGCGGGCTTCTCGGTTGTTCTCTGTCTGAACCTGGCCCTGCCTGTTCTTGAGGCCCGTGGAGTGCTCCACGGTAGACATGGGCCTGCCCCGGTGGCCGGCTTTGACTATCACAAGCAAGAGCCTGGAAATGTCAGTCACATGAGGAAGGTTCCCTGCAGGATGAATTCCTAAACTGGAATTCTTGGGTCACAGAAAAAGTGAATTCAAATGGCTCATAGAACATGTCATTTTCTATCATTTCAGAAACCGTCCACCCCAGCACCCCCAACGTACGAGCTGCCCACGCTGTACAGGACCGAGGACTATTTTCCTGTGGACGCTGGGGAAGCGACGCTCCAAACCCCCAGCTGCCATCGGCATCTGTGAGCCTTGTGGTCCTGCCACGGGGACGTCGTTGGAAAGCGAGAGTCGGTGTACGTGGGAGCTGGGGATTTTTTTTTCTTATTGCTGTTGCTTGGCTTTCTGAATTTCCTCCCTTACTTCACGTGAGACCACAGGGTTTGCAGAAGCAGTTGGAGCCCATGTGTGGCAGAGCCTCGGGGGTGATCCGGAGGAGGCATTTCCCACCAGTGTTCGGCCTGCCTGGTGTTCTAGGATGAGACGGTCACGTCTGCGGAGCCACCTGGCGCGGAGCCTGGAGACTCAAATTTCCCTTTTCCAATGTGAAGGGCTTTGTGCGGAAATCATGGGGCTCACTTAGCGCCGCCATGGCTGCAGGCCCCTCCGTGCTGGTCGGTCTGCCTGCGAACCGCAGCACCCACGGGCCTGAGCAGCATCTCAATAAAGGTGTCAAGAGGACACGTGTGGTCTGGGTATAAATGTTTTCTCAAAGGGTGCCCCTGATCATCCACATTGCTCATTATGACGCCCCTCGCCTGAGGGGACACTTTAGCTTTGGCCTGTAGATTCCCAAGCAAGGATGGACAGATCATGAGGATTTCCAGAGGCCTTCAAAGCTGGGTTTGCCTTCATTTCTTCTCATGCAGATGAGTTTCCTGCTATTGTCCTGAACCTCCAGATTCCTCACTTGAGTGACGGATCCTTCTGGGTTTTCTGGAACTTTTCACAGAGCCAAGAAAACACACATGCGCAACTACCCCTCCGCCTACCCCACCCAACTGCAGACCTTCATTAGCGTTTCAGGGAAACCTCACACAACGCATCAGGAGAGGGAGCAGTAGAAAACCAAGGAAAAGGTTGAGTCTTGCCAATTTTAGGACAGTGTTTCCAATACAGGTGGATCCCTTGTTTTAAGAAGAGCAGGCATTTTTCTGTGGAGATACTTTTTTTAATGAAAAATTTGTGTGCATTATTTTAAATTATTGAAGTGTAGTTTACCTACAGAAAAGTGCACCTAACTGTATGGGTCATGGAATTTTTACAAACTGAATGTTTCTGTGTAACCCAGATGCAGAAACAAGCAAGCCCACATTGTCAGCACCGGGAAGCCCCTCTCCCACCCACCCGTGCTCCTGCCACTCAGTGCCTCCCGCCCACCGCCAGGCTAACACCATCCTGATGCCTGACAGGGTGCACAGAGTTGCTGGCCTCTCTGCTTTGTGCAACTGGAGGCTGAGTGGCATCTGTACACACAGGATGTCGTCTCTGTGCCTGGCTGCTCATGGGAGGCATCCCTGTGGCTGTGTGTGGCTGTGGCTGCAGCTTGTTAGTCCTCGTGGCTTCGTTGTACTGGTCAGGACTGTTTTTAATGATGGAAGCTGAGATAGTCACTGGGTCCTGGTCTGCTTCAGAGATGCAATGGTCAGTTAATTTTTCAGACAAGTGATGAGGACACCAATTTCTGGAAAGTCGAGTATATGTGGTTTGCTAGAGATGCCCAGGCCTCTTTCTCCTTCCAGAGCCTGAACCGGGGCCCAGGGAGAGGTGAAAGGGAATGTCACAAGATCAAGCCACAGCAATGTAAGTGTCCTGAAGTAGATACCCACAGGGCCGTGGTTGAGAGCTTACGGGCCCTGAGGTCAGCCTGAGTGGCACCATGTCTCCTGCACATCTCACTCCCGTCCTGTGCACCCCTGGACTAATTGCTTATCCTCTCTGAGCCCAGCCTCCTCCTCAGGAAGATACAGAGGCTAATGGTACCTGCCTTGTGGGTTGTTCTGCAGATGCAGCAAGATGATGTATGTGACTGCATGGCTCAGGGGCTGGCAACAGGCACTTACTACTGGGTGGCTGCTGTCACGGGGACTGGCCTGGGTGGGGACAGGGCTGATGTGTGCTGCTTTTCTCAGTTGATGAGTGGTATCCAAGAACCTCAACAATGAGTGACTTAGAGGCTGCCCTTGAATTTCAGAGCCAGACCGAGTCAGGGAAGAGTGAATGCTGCTAAGAGTCCAGCGAGCTCTCTCAGAGTTTTGTCCTTGAATTCTTTTAGGGACACCCCCTCCCACTGTCAGGGATGAGGGGTGAGGTTGCATGAAAGCGTCTATGGGAAAAAGGTGACTAATGAACTAGAAATTGCCATTTCAAGTTTCCTGGGAGCTGCAGTGCCAAACAATGAACTTTTAGGGACACCTGGAGATACTGGGGAGCCTGCCAGGGACTCCTGACCTCAGCTCCTTGAGCTGCTGTTATTCTGGTGGCGCTGTCCTTGTTCCAGGTGACCCGAAAGGCATCTCTTTTACAGAAAGTGACTGACCTGCCTCCTGTCACGAAAAGGAAAGCCTGACTACTGACCTGAGCAGGCCCCCCAGCACACTGCAGGGGTCCCTTTGCAGCCTAGGTGAGGCAGATCCCTTCCTTTCTGCTGTGCCTCTCATTGGTCAGGGATGCCAGTAGAAAGGCAATTGCAAATGCCCTCGAGAGCAAGACTCTGGTCAGCCACCACCCCGCTTTCCCAGCAGATGTGAACTTCATGTCTGTCAAAGCAAGAGGTTTCAAGACCGTGGCCCACGGGTTGGCAGAAATGTGTGGTTTGCCCTGAACTGTTTTAAAATGTTTTCATGTTGAGACAACTGGATAGCCATCTGGAAGAAATAAAGGGAGTCCCATACCTCACTCTGACACCAGGAACATTTCCAAAATTCCAAATGGATTAAGGAGGAGTTAAGTGTATAAAATGAATTTATAGAAGAAGGAGCCAGAAATATTGAAGAATCATATAAAATCCAGAAGCCATAGAAGATAGATAAACTTGATTGTATATAAAATTTTAAATCCTCTGCATGGCAAAAACAAAACTTAACAACAAAAATCCCAAAACAACAACAAAATCCTAAGCAAATTCAAAAGACAAATGACCAATAAGATGAAAGACAAATGGGGAAAATATATTTGCAGCTTGTATTAGAAAGGGATAATCACCACAAATGTATAAACTGCACCTACAAATAAATAAGAGGAAAAAATAGATGTGCAAAGGATATGAACAGGTATTCACAGAAAAGGAAATGCAAAAGGCATTTTACACATGTGAACAGATACTCAACCTCAATCTGTATCACTAAATGAATTACTTTTTACTCTATCCAGCTGGAAAAAAATGAGATTTTTTTTTTACACTGTTGGTGATATGTTGAAGAAAATGCATTCTCCTACATTGATGGTGAGACACCATTCTCATGGAAGTCTGGCAGTACTTACAAAATTAGAAATGTATATACCTTTGGACCTAGTAATTCTCTCTCTAGATATCAAGCCTCCCAATATACACACATGAGACAAAAGATAAATGCAAAGGGTTATTCACTATGCATTGAAATAGCAAAACGTTGGCAAGAACCTAAGTGTCCATCAGTAGGGGATTAGTTCAGGTGTAGTGCATGCACACATACACGGACAGACGGAATCCTATGAAGTTGTAAAAATGGATTAGAAGCTCTTTATGAATTGGTATGGAAATGTCACTAAGATATGAAGGCCAAAATGTAGAAAAATGTACATAATACACTACTATCTGTGTGGGAAAGAAAGGCATTAATATTCTCTGGAAGGATAAACAAAAATCCATTTGGGGTAAGATATGTACTTTTCACTTTTTACTTTTTCATAGCTTTTGATATTTTGGTGTTCATTTAAAAAACTCAAGATCAATTGGCAGCAACTAAAAATTAAGACAGGCCACATAAAGAGCTGGACGTCCAGTTTCTCTTCTAAAACTGGACTATCTGGGCTCATTCTTGCAAGCAACAATGAGCTGAAGCTGGGTCACTTTAGAGGGGCCATGCTCTCTAGGTTTCTCTCGTATTTAAAGTGTTCCACTAGTTTATTTTACCTGCCTGGCCCCTGTGGGTAATTTGCATTTAAGACCCTTAGGATCAGAGAGCCTTTGACCATGGAGATTTACTCCAAGGACATGGGGTATGTGAAGAAATGCAGCTGGGTGCAGGACAGCAGCTGCCTGGACACTGCAGTTCCAACAACCAGCAAGCTAGCAAGCATCTCTGTGCCCCAGTTCGAATTCCCTGGGAACTTTTGCTATAGGAATGTGTACTTTCTGTGGCTCTCCTTTAGCAAGTGACTCATACCAAGTCAGACAAAGACGTCATAAGAAAACTACAGACCAATGTCCCTAGTGAATATGGATGCAAAAGTCCTCAAGTAGACTGAATCCAGACTGAATCCAGCAACATACAAAAAAAGGGATTATACACCATGACCAAGTGGGATCTCTCTTAGGAATACAAGGTTGGTTTAACATCTGAACAGCAATCAATGTAACACACTTACTAATAAAGGTAAAAAAAACTACATGATCATCTCAACAGATGCAGGAAAAAGCATTAGACAAAAATACAACATCCATTCATGATAAAAGCTCTCCTTGGGATGGAAAGGGGAGTCCTCAGAGAGAAGGATTAGAAGCTAGGCAGACACCCCCAAAGGTGTCTAGTTACAGGATTACCAACTCTCTGGAGATGATTTATTGACCCAGGCAGCTAGAGGTATCAAGGCATTTTCCTTCCTAGGTTAAAGCAAAATCCCATTTTGTCTTTTTTCTTTGTTTTCCTACAATAAGTATTATTGTTTCCAGTTGGCCCACAGCTTGGGTGAGGGTTCCAGGATGGCTAAAAACTGCCTCCCTACTGGCTGCAGGGAGAGGCTCAGCCAGAAGCCCTGACACCAGGGGGATGCAGAGGGGTCCCCGAAGGTTGCTGGGCCCTGGAGGCTCCGAGTTGTGCTGGACTCACTTTGTCTTATGGTCAAGACCATGGGCATCTTTGGGGTTTGGAGGAATAAATGCAATTCTGACTCCAGGTGGCTGTCACAGAATTTCCCCTGAGTCCTGTGGGCTTGCTGTGGACTCAAAAGCCTCGAAATTCTTGCCAGTGATCATCAGCTGGATGCATTTCAGGCTTGCAAGCAGCCGGGGAGGGGCTGTGGGTCTGAGGCCTGCTCCTGCCTTCCGTACTGGGACTTCTGGTGAGTGGGTTTTGCCGGCCCCATGACGCTGAATTTGAGGAACCAGTTGAGGAGCCTGCAGTGGACCCATGTTTTTGGTCAGGATAGACATATGGTGAATCCTCTGAGGAACCAAGCCAGCTAAACCTGGCTCTGGAGGTTGGGCCCCCTCCAACCAGAAGAACTTTCTCACCGAGCCTTCCAGGGAGCTGCTCTGCCAGGAGCGGACCTCTCTGTGTTGCATCAGCTCCGCTCGTGGGGAGGCAGGCCCACGGTGGACGAGACAGAGGAGACCTGGAGGAGCGCCCCGAACAAGGTTTGTGCCGTTTTCTGTTGACATTTTCCGGAGCTGCGTGTGGCTGCTGCTGGGGGCCCACGCGTGGAGTGAGCATTTTCTGCCAGGCCCATGGCCGCCTCTGCCCGGCGAGCCAAGGGTGCAGGAGGGCACTAGCTGGCACGTGGAACGTTGTTTTCTACACACAGGTTGCATCTCTGAGTGTAGAGGCGGGGGTTCTTAGGCAGTCTGACAGGTGTTTGTTGAGTGGGGGTGCTAGACTAAAGGGTTTTACACAGGAAAGCGCTGGTGGCAAATATATTAATCAGGGGAAAGCTCACACCACAGCTCGTGTTCACTCGCGTCTTTCAAACTGGTGTGCAGTGCTGGTTGCACAGTGGAATCAGCTGGGCCGCACCCCAGACCAATTACATCAGAGTTTCTGGGAGGGTCCTCGGTACTGAGGTTTTAATGCTGTGCAGGTGGGGAGAATCTGCAGGCCAGGCTGGGACTCTGCTTTCAAAGAAGAGCAGTCCAGAGATTTTCAAGGATTTGCTACCCTTTCTCAGCGGCAGCAGCTGCACTTTTCATCGGTTTGCATCCTGCCTGAGGGCTCGTTGGGACCTGAGAATAGTGTGGAATTGGGTTTGAGTAGGTTTCTGGTTTGAGGCGAATTGATTCCACCGCAGCTCCAGAGATGGGTGCTGATAGATCCAAACTAGTCAGGGTAACCGAAGCTCACCGTGGGTCACGGTGGCTCTGGCCCAAGACCACCGGCCACAGAAACTGGTTCTGGAGTGGGCCAGTCGGCTCCAAGGTCAGGACCCTTGCTCAGTAGTGGGGGAGGGGAAACCCTCGCTCAGGGAAGGTGAATGGGAAGCGCCCTACAAACCAGGGCACCTGCCTGGGATGAAGGTAACTATGTGGGTGACAGGACAGGACAGGACCTGAGCTCTTGCTGACGTCACTGAGCATCTTGCCATACTCACGCATAGCTAGTTACCTGCCTGTGCCCTTTCTTAAGCCCAGTCTGATTTGGAGTTCTTGTTTCATAAAAAAGGAGTCGGAAGCTGGGTAGGGGACTTAATCACTGATGGTCAGAGACTTCCCTGGGAAGCATTTTGAGCCCAAGCCCAAGCCAGAGCCACCTCTAGATTCCTACTTCGGTGCCACCTGGCATACATTAGGTAACACAAGTCACACCGAGGCACAAGGTCATCCAGTTCTCTCAGTCTTGCCTGGCCTAAGGAAAAAGTGTCATTTTGGTTCTAGTGTGCCCCAAACCTTTCTGAGTTTCCTTTTTAACAAACAGTAAGTTTCCGGCTCACAGTCCTCGGCAAGCAATAATAGTTTGTGAAAATGTGGTATGTTTTGTCTTGGATTTAATAGAAGCTTTCATTAATGGTAAATTATGCTGGTTGTCCTTTTTTTGTAGAGACATAGTTTTCCTTCTCAAAATGGGGGTTTGAAACATGCTAAGCACATTAAGCGGCTGCTAGGCAGATGTGGCAGAAAAGACAGAGATGGCCGTGTGAAGGAGTACAGTTTGGGAAATGCCGAACCAAGGAAAAGCGTGACGTGTTGGCTTGGAGACTGGGATTGTGTCTTTGCACTTTTGCAGGGAAGCCTTTCTGAGGAGAGTCTTTAGCCAAGATGAAGACCGTGTGGCGTGGCTGGGAATTCCAGGGGCTGTGGCTGCAGAGTCAGGCAGCAGTAGCCCTCTGCCAGTTGGGATCCAGGGACATGGAGCTTCTCTGAACCTTCAGGTCCTGAAAGCTGAAATTAGTACTCCTTGACTCTTTTTTCGGGGGTTGGGTTGAGGGACTGGGGCAGGACCATTTTGAAGACACCAATTATCTTGGGTCTAGTGTCCTACAGCTACTACCAGGAACGCTTCAGTGGTGTTTGCAAAGTGCTTGTTGAGTAAATATGTGCTCAGGATGTGTGCTGAGCTCCAGGTGTTTTAGGAACTGTCTACTCCTAGGCAAGGTATAAGTCATGCTCCTTGCATGGAGGTCCCCTCCTTGGAGGACAGGGCTCTGGGTTTGAGCATCTCTCTGCTCCTCCTTCCTGGGAATGCTCACATAGCTGTGCTGGCAAGTCATGCAGCAGTCTTTTCATCAGCGGTCTCCAAGACAGGGTCTTAACCTTTAATTCCTAGGCTCCCAAATGGCTGCTTCGTGTACACTGTCAATACAGTGTAGCATCACATTCTACTGTGGTCTAGATGGCAGCCAGTATAGTGCTTATAAGTACATTGGAAACACCCTTTTATTCTAGCTGTTTATTGGGAGACCCATTTGCTTCACTTAGTAGTAAGACATTAATAAAGGCACAGCAAGATTTTTACTGCAAAAACCAGTTTAGGTTTAAATGACCTTACACCTTTCTAAGGCCTGATGGCATCCTGAGGGCGGGGAGGGTTGGTTTACATCACAGACTCATGTGAACACAGTGGTCTGAAAAAAAATCCACACCTGCAACTCACTGAAATAGTGCAGGAGATTTTTTCCTTTATTCCATTCATAGGGCATGTCCTAGAAATTACAGAGCGCCCTTCCCATTGCCTTCTCCTAGAGCCCTTTAAAATCATGACTTAAGGATCTTCAGGATGTGCAACTTGAGCCTTATCTGCTGATTTTTGATTAACAACCCTCACTCAAGCTGCAATTCTACTAGATTCAAGTTACAGTGAGTTATTTAGTAAGGTGATGGCAAGTAGCAGGACACAAAGAATTACCAAATGGTGACCTCCTTTGGTGCAAGTTTAGATATTTTCAAGCTAATTTTCCAGTAGTAGTTGGTAGAAAATGCCTTATTTTCTAACTCAACGCACTGTCAAAAACTTTATCTCAGTTCAAGTCTGTCTCTAGACCACCTCACTGCAGCAAATTGGTAACTGGTATGTTGGGATGTCATTTCAGAATGGTGGGAGCTGTCCTTTTATTTAATCTTCTGGGGGTTTAGAAGTTTTGAGATGTTTTTGCGTGACTCTGGTGAAAGAAAACTGCAGTTAATGAAGTGAGCAACAGGATTAGAAACAAGGTCACGATGGATAGAAAAGCCCATTGCCTGAGGGGGAGAAGGCTGCCGATGCTGTGAAATTCGTGTATTCAATATTCTACTTAATTTCGTTGGTGAAGAGGGGATTTCCCATCACTCAAGCTAAGCGGTTCTCAAGGTTTAGTGGCATAGCAAAAATCACCTAGACATGATTTTGGGGTCCCGTATCAAGGGTTTGGTGCTGGTATTGTGCAGCCAAAGCAGGGGAACCGCCCATCCATACAGTACTTGCTCGGCCAAAGCAGTGTAATGGCTTATAGATAGTTTCACATGGGGCAGTCTCTATCTTTGATAGATATTCACATCTGGCACTCATTTTATTCTCTTCTGAAACAGTATGCATCTTTACCCAGGGACAGGCATTTGTAGCAGACACAACCATAGGGCAATAAAGGGGCTAACCCTTTCCTGCTTGGATCTTAAGTGGGGACAGAGCCGTTTGATAGATACCCTGTACTGTTCAGTGACAGGGAACCAAAGATGGGACAAGAATATACTTTGATGTACTGAAACGGGAGAGAAACCATGGCACTTGTCAGATTCTGAAACTCATGGCTACGTTTGAAGGGCAAAATATACATCATTATTCAGTCTACAGTTAACAGACGTTAGGTGGCAGATTGCACCAGATTTCCAGATTATTCCAAAAGCAAACAGTAGCAACACCTTTCTTTTAAAATGGCTTTTATTGAGACTTTTAGGGCTTCTGCAACATTTTTAGTTGGGAATCTTCATTTCCAATTCTTAGATGGCTATGCTTTTAACAAATGCCAACGAGGCTCACCCCCACCACCTTGGCGTGGAAGCACACTCATATCTCTGTTCAAATGTCCAACCAGGGCTGTCCCCTGCCCCCTCTGCTATTCTGCACAAGTCTCATTAGTGCTCCACACAGGACTCATAAAGGCAGGCTAAGTTCTTCCCACCACCTATTAGGCAGAGTAATTTCAAAATGTGAGATGGCTTAAATTCAGCTGAAATTACTATCCTCTATTAAGGGAAACGGACATTCTCAATACCGGTTTGATTCAATTATCTGTGGCATCTTCATTTGGGGACAGCCTGTCCTAAATATTAGCTGGTGCCCACAGAATTTATAATCTACCTGTATAACAGACTTCAAATAGCTCCATGCCAACCCCAGACACCCTAAAGGTTCTAGTTTATTCTTAACACCTTCTCCTGTACTGTTTTTGAGGAGCGTTAAAACTTGACATTTTAGGGAAGTTGGTTGAAATCTCTACTCTCCTAAAAGCTATGAGGTTGTTGAATCTTTGAGAATCTTAGAAATAATGGAAACCAGGCACTATGGAACTCTTTAGGCCAATGTCCTCAAAAAGTGACTGACCAGCCTCTGCCTTCTGAACGGATTTGGAGCATGCTATTGTTTTAAATTGTGGAAAACATTGGCTTATTTCTACCACTTTCTGACTTTACATTTAGTGTTAGTTGCTCTTGGGAATCTACCCATAGTAAATGTATCAGCTCCTTGCATCTTGATAGCCTTCCAAATGGGGATCTCTAAAGCCTTTTTCTTAAAGCAAGACGGTCAAGAGAGTTGTAACAGAAGCAGAGTGGTTGCCTTTTTTAGTACAATTGTTCCCTTTATAAGGTGAAAACTAACATTTCATTTAGAAGAAAACACACCAGGGCATTAAGATTCTGCTGGCAAATGAATGCCAATTTATGTTTACATCCTTTTATCAGAGACATTTACATATGTAAGCAGGCTTCACTCCTTAACAGAGGGGAACTGAAAACTCAAGGATGTTTATTTTAGCAGTTAAAAAAGAAAAAGACAAGACAAAGCCAAAAGAAATTTTAACAGGTGCCTTGAAAGGAAGTATTCTCTATGCCAATGGCAGATCTTGGTCTTCGACAAGTGTCCTCAGTGGCTGTGGTTTCTTCCATCTCTGATGAAAGAGCCATGTTGTCAACTGGCACAAGACATAATGGACACACAGGACTAAAATGTGTAATAAAGCAAATATTTACATTAAGCACAATACAGCAATTTATTTAGATGCTTAAAATGAATACAAAGGGAAATAAAGATCACAAATTATACATACTACAACAGTGTGTCATATATTAGATGGTATAAATGAATACACCAAGGTGGTGTTTAACTAAAGATAAAACTAAATATTGAAAATGCAGCACTCATTGGTTTGCTGCTTCAACACAACACTTTCATACAGATCTAAAAGGTGTCAAAATTAGCTGCAAAGTCAATTCTTGCATGTGATTTTAGCTTAAAAGATTTCAGAAACAGATCTGAAATACCAGTTTTTGTTTTTGTCAGCTGTAATGTCAAGGATATTCAGAACAAGAAAAATTCTATAATACAAGAGAGTCCAGATATATATCTTATGTGGCTGGCCTCTGTTGCAAGATTGTACAAGGTTATGTGCAAAAACTAAGTCTGTCCAAAAGTCCATACTAGCGCAGTTTCAAGCTTTTGCTAGGTAAACTAGATATAGCGTTTATTACACAGCAAGGGCAACACTAAAAAAAAAAAATCTATGATGGGTACACAATGACAATATCGTAAGCATCACTTGAATAGGTCTAAAAGACTGTACAAATATACATTTCAACTATTCAGAATGAATACATGAAAAAAAATTGGTTTTTTCCCAAAGTCTACTATACACATTGGACTGGTGGTAGCTTGTATGTTGGCCCTACATTACCAACTGAATCAGGATAATGTTTCTCAGGGACGTCCAACCAAACATTTTACAGAGGGAAAGAAATGTTGAGAAGGCAGATAAAATAAACCTCTGCTTTTCCTTGTGTGCGTTCATGAGCCACCAGCTTACTGATTTTTCACATTTAGTTACTGTGTCTGTCACATCAAGTTCTGAAGAGAGATCAGCCAATCATGTGGTGCAGACTTATGTAACCACTGGGGGTACAGTGGCCACATATCCCCACAGCCTGAAGACCCAGCACTCAAAAGGCAGTACCAGTTAGAATACAGCTTGGCAGTCATACTGAAAGGAGAACAGAGTTTCAGGCTGCAGCATGTCACTGTTGCCACAGAGAACCTGGTGCTTATGCCTGCTGACTGCTCAGCTTAACTCCAGTTAAGCTGCCATGCATCGGCTCAGCTACTCCATCAGTCATGTTGTCAAATTGCTCCCCATCCTCACTGTCCATTGTGCTATTCTGCCACTCAATCTGTGGGTTGGATAAGCGCTCATCATTTTCAGATGCATTCTTCCACTGTGACTGGTCCTTGGACCAAAACCCTTCAACTTTTCCATAGGAACTATTTTTCCATTTCAACTGCTCTCTGTCACCTTGCACGGGAGCCTTTTTTTTGGCAGCTGGCTTACTGCTCCTTGCATCTTCACTCTGGGAAGACTCATCAGACCAGGTGCCTGGTTTCATTTCACATGTGTTGTCCTCAAAGTCCGACACTTGTTGGGAACCAGGGCCACTCTCAGATGGAGAAGCACCATCTTTCCACTCCACCACATCATCTTGGTCGGCCTCACTATCGGAAGCATCGTGCATTAGTTTTCTTGGTTCCTCAGTCAAATGAATAGTTTCGTATTTTGAGCCATCCTCCTCTTTTTGGTCTAGCTTCTCCTCAGATTCTAACGCATCCTCAGAAATCACCTTCGGTATGTGTTCCTCTGGGTTATCATTAGGGATTTTAGGCTCAACTTCAAAAACAGGATCAAAAGGGCTGCCACTTCCATTGGATTCTTCTTCCAAATTTTCAAAACTGTCTGAGGAACTGTCATCTTCCTTCCCAAGGTTGAGCTTTTTGTCAGCAGTCTTACTAGCATTGACTCTAGAATCCTTCTCATCATGATTCTCAAATAGCCACTCAGCATCAAAATCCATCTCATGCTTAACTTTATTTAATTCTTTCATGTTGAAGCCCAGTAACACACCAGGCTTATATTTTTCACAGTCTCGGACACATTTCTTCCTCTTGTTACTAAAATGGGAAGCAATGTCACTCTTCCACAACCATAAACTGGCTGCCAGCTTCTCAATTTCTCTCCTGGTGGGATAGGGCTGTTTGTTGAAATACTTTGTTAGGAAGCTTTTCCTGGCTTCATAGGAATCATCTTCATGACCCTTGGGATCTAAAGCTAACACAACAGGCTCCTCAGGCTTTTCTTCAAAGAAGCTGGGTGAATCGTTTTCATCATCTAACTTCCGCTTTTTCAGCAAGGGAAATTCCATTTGCTCATAAGTGCGCTTCACAGGTGCCAGACCTGGTGACTGATTAAGCCGAGAGGGTGCATTTGTCTTATCCTGGCCATTCTGGGTCTTCCCAACACCCCTGCAGTGAACCAGATGCAGAGTGATAGTCGAGGCAGTCATATTGCTGGTATACACACCAAGGCAATGGATACATTTGTAGGTGAGCTTTTTTTCCACTGGGTGAACCGTCTGAATAACTTGGTGTCTCTCTCGTAAGTGATGTGCAAGTGCATCAGATATGGGTCCCTTTAGGATTGAAAAACAAAGAGGGCAAAGAGTTTTCCCAACATCTTTTTTATAGGGCACTGCAGCCTGAGGTGAACTTTTAACAGGGATATCTGCCTTTTCCTGAACTTTTGGCTGTGGCTTTGGAGGGACTGGAGGGTTATTTTGGGCATGGTAAGCAACAGATTCAGCTGGGGCATCCCGCAGGTTGTACGTGGTTACAAGAAGATGGATGTTAGTGTGACTACCCTGCTGCAATGTCAAATCAAAACTCAAAGTAGAATCTGTTTTAGGTCCCATCTCTTCATCAATGTGAACCATCCTCATGTGTGCTGCCATTTTTTCCACATCATTGAAAGTTGAACGGCAATAAGGACAAGAGAGACCGTGAATTAACATATGGTTGAGCAGGGTATCTGTGGGCAAATAGCGATTACAGTAGAGGCATTTGCTAGTAAAATTATGTATTTTCATAATGTAGTTAGCTACTGCTGGGACTTTCTCAGCTTTATGTTCTTTTTCGAAGTGCACACTATAAACATTTTCAGGAAAAAGCTCATTACAGATTGTACATATTTTCCACTTTTGGGTTGAGGAAGTATTGGCTGAGAGAGGGCCTATGGCAGCTGCAGTAGGTTTGGAACTTGACTGGCCTAATACTCTGGATGCCTGTGTTTGGGAGAGGGAAGGAGACTTTAACTGGCTTGATGAGAGAGAAGCGGCATTAGCAGACTGCAGGGAGTATCTCGCCGGTGCCTGGGACCTCTGCTCTGAGCCAAGCCCGTAAGATCTCCCATTTCCACTTGGAAGTAACTGCTTCACAGACTGAGACTGCTGAGGGATGGAGACCGGTGCATTGCCTCCCAGACCCAGTCTCACTGACTGACCGACGCCGTAGCCCTGGCCTACAGATTTGACTCCATAGTTATTCTGCTGTAGGTGAACACTGGACATCATGTTGACTCCTGTAGAATTTAAGTTAGGCTTTGGTATTGAGAGTCGATTCACCATCTGCTGTGATGGCAAAGACCGGACGTTTCCAGAAGCAAGGGAACCAATTCTTGACTGGAGTCCCATGCCCTTCTTCTCTTGAGGTTTGGGAGCAATTAGCATCAAGGGTTTGGATCGGGGAACCACCACATTTGTGTGCCCAATCATGGCAGTGACCTGATAGCCTATGCGTTCATGGTCTTCGATGACATGTTGTACCAAAGCTTCGTAGGACTTTGGCATGAAAAGGCATCGCTTGCAGTGAATACTACTCTCCTCTCGGGTGTTTGAGCCTAAAGGGACTGCACCATTGAGTGATTTCTCACCTGCCTTTGCTATGTAAGGTGCTGCCACATGCTGAAAATGTTCCCTGTAAATGTGCTTCCTAACTATTTCATAAAGAGGATCTCGGTAAGTGCACTTCTTACAGTAATAAACAGCTTGCTCTACACTGTCAGCCTGCTTAGGTTTAAGGCCATCATTTTTGCTTTTATCTTTGAAAGTGCTGAGGCTGCTACTTGGTGCGCTGGCGTTTGGAGCATGAAATATTTTAATGTGTGTTTCCAAAGTCTTTTTGTCTGCATTGAAAGTACAGTAGGGGCAATTAAGGAGAATCCTATTTTCAAAGTCTTCACTATGGACATTCCGGAAATGACTTTTGTAGGCAGAAAAGAATTTTGAAGAAAATGGACAAGCGCTGCAGCAAAAAGGTTTTGTCCGATAGTCCTAAAGAAAAGACAAAAACCACAATCAGATTGCCACTCCAGATAGGCAATGATCACAGATTCTACGATTTTTTCCAGGCATTCTGTCTTCAATAGAGACATACTACTTTTAGAACTGAAACTTTACAACACAATGGCAACTCTGCCACCCATATTGAATACAAATTTGTGAAATATACTCTCAAATGAGAAAAACCAAGTATTTTTATTTGGATCTCAAAGTATAAATAAAAAACTCAAATTCTAAGAATTTTTTTTTTTAACCAGAGTCACATTTGCTGACTAGTTTTAGACAAACAGCTTCATGATAAACATTTTACAGTTAGAAATGACAAGAATAACCCCTGTGAAACCACTTTCACCCTGTGAGTCAGCAAGCTGTTAGAGGCCTTAGAGTTTCAGATGTATAGTAAAATTCAGGACCCAGACTGCTGTATTGCAATTAGGCAATAGGACATGAAGACGCACCTTTTACATGCTTCCTCATCATGGAAAAATTTTCATAAAAAAAATCCTATCTCCAAAAACCTCACTTTTCCCCTCTGATCGAAGTACAGTGTAGTACTCAGACTTCATTGCTGATCTAAACACTACTGACTTGAAAAGTCTGTCTTCTACAAGTCATCCTGTTCTTTCTCAAGCAAGAACAGCTTCAAAAGAAGTAATGAAGTGACAGCTGCTTTGATTAAAATTGAGAAGTTAAATAAAGATTTCCTGCAGACTATGAGGAGCACCTGGTGTTACAAAGCCCGAGAAGGGACTGCAGAATATACCGGCATCAGAGGGCGACTTCCAGAATTAGCACTTGTCCAGTTGGTCCTTCCACGAAGACAGGTGAAACACAAGCTTGGCAAGAGATTATCTTTCTCTCTAGAAACCTACTGTGTTTCAGATACTTCTTTGAACAAAAATGAAATTTTGGTTTTCCTTAAAGCTTAACCCTTCTTTAGTGTTAGACTATGAGACTTGGGGATTTTATAAAACTGAATTAACTAAATGATGTGTCCCACGAGAAAGCTTTCATATTCTAAGACTGCTAGTTAATACAGGTGTATTTCAGAGCTACTGCAGGTTCAGTTCCACACCACTGTAGGAAAGCAAGTATCACAATCAAGCAAGTCAAAGGAATATGGCTTCCAATGCCTATAAGACATGTTTATACTATACTGTCATCTGTAAGTGTGCAACAGCATTGTCTAAAAAAAGTACATGCTTTAATTAAAAAATACTTTATTGATTAAAATGCTAGCTATCATCTGAGCTTTCAGAGAGTTGTGATCACTGATTACCCAAAACAAATATAATAAAAAATTTTGAAATATTACAAGAATTACAAAAATGTGACACAGATACACAAAGTGAACAAATGCTGTTGGAAAAATGCTGCCAACGTATTTGCTTGAGATAGGGTTGTCACAAACCAATTTGTAAATAAATAAAAAAAAAGTAGTATCTGTGAAGGGCAATAAAACTAGGTATGTCTGTACCATTTTCTGAGGAATTAATAAGAACCAGATTAACTATAGTATCAAATTTATCAAACTCTGAGGTAGAGTTTAAAAGTACCAATTCCCTGCCAAATATATTCTGATAGATGAACAGATCAATAATCCAGAATTACTACTGAACTTGTAAATTTAAACTTTACCATTACCTATCATCTATGGAAAATGAAATGCCACTGACTAGCTCTGTTTTCACCACAGCTTCATGTATTGATACTGGCTGGCACTGGCAGCACCTCAGACTAGTATTATTTTTCATTGCAGTTTGTAAAAAGTTATGCACACCTCTCTGTCACTGCTGTCCTACAGAACCACCTAACCTAACCACACCACCAAAGGTTGTGTGATATAAACACAGGGAAATAAAAAAAATGTAAGAAAATTCTCCCCATAATAGAAAAAAGGACTGCAACAGACACAGAAAATTGATAGATAACCTAGATGAACAGAATGTTGGAGGGAATACTTTATAAATAGAAAAGTCAAAGTACTTTGGAGTTGGGGAATGTTGGCATACAGTGGGCTTCAGAGCCTGTACGTAACAAAACTGCCTATTCTTACACTTGAAGTTTCAATCCAAAGACAAAATAGACAAGTTCCTCCTACTTTTCCCTACCACTTTGGAAAATACGAAAATCGATTTTGATTTTGACATATTCCACCTTAGGTTGCATACAAACAAGATACAGAGCCTAGAGCTAAAAAGGGAGTGGGAGTATACCAAGGATGCTGTCCTTTGAGTTAAGTAATCTTTGCCACTTACCTGGTTTTTTGTAAGCGAAGGGTCCCATAGTCCTACATCCTCCCATGTAGTGTTTTTCAAATAAAAGTCATTAGGTTCAAACTGTTTAAAGTCCTAGAAAACAGCAAAAGAAGTTTACAAAAACACAGTGGTGTCAACTCTAGCCTCACCTTACATATAAACCCTATTTCTTAACTAGAGCTGGGGAGATGCATAGAAAACCAGCTCTGCTAAGAACTCAACTGGAACTATAAGGCTCTTAGGAGATACAAGAAGGAATACGGAAGTTGTACTGAATACTCTATCAAACAAACATTCCCTCAATGGTCAGCCAGGTTTCCAAGGAAACCGCTGGAAGCTGTACTTCAGTAAAAATTCAGCTACATATTAATACAAAGCTCCCTTCATTAGAGTATTGTAACTCAACAGTTTGGTATTAGAATGAAGTGTCACATAGTACTACAGATGTGATATCTGGTTCTGTAGAAAAAGACCCGTATTTTGGGGGACTAGGGGAGAAGGATTGGAATGGGAAGAGAACAGGATTTCTGAACCCAAAAAAGGAAGAGAGTTATTCAAAGAAAGTAGTATTATGTTAAATTTATGTAAAAATTTAATGGCTCATATCCCCCCAGGCTAGGAAGACCAACCATCTTAGGGTAGAATTCCCCTTGCTCCTAAAAGGTTCGTAGTTCAGTGTGGGAAAATCAAGTACACGTAAATTCCAGAGTATGTAATGGGTATAATAACGGAAGGAATAAACCAAAAGAAGGATAGAAAAGGTACCTTAACATTGCATTATATATTCTTGTATTACCTCAGAGTGAAGTGAATGGACTGTTTCATCTGGCACATCTACCTGAGCTTGAGGGGTTTGAGAGGGATTGGAGTGAACTTCCACACCGCGGACAACACAACTACAGAAGCCCACTTTTGAGAAGTTTGATTCTTTATGATATATTCCTAGAGTAGTATTAGTGGGAATCAGTATAAGAAATACGTTGTATAAAAAAATTGCTTTTTTTTTTTCCAATTCCATCCAAACACTTACTGGATGCCTGTTATGTGCTTAGCACTGTGCTAGGTGCTGGGGATACATAGATGGACAAGGTATTTTATTTATAGTCCCCTGGCTGGCTGGAACTTAAAGGCTAGTGGGAAAACAGCTTAAAACATTCCATTTCAATCAGAGGCTTTGACCAACCAACCACAAGACCTGGAAGAATGAGACTGGGAAAAGGAGACCATTGTACTGGCTATCCTCCAGGGCTGTCACAGAGCTCATAGAATAAAAAGGCCAGAAAAACAGTTTGTAAAGTCCAAACTGTTATACAAAGGGAAGGTAACAGTCTATGATGGGTCAAAGGGCTAACAAATGCTCAACTTTTAAGAGACAGTAAGTACCTAAACCACCATGCCTCAACAATCAGAAAGTCAACCAGAACATTCCAGCATTTCAGAATGAGAACAGGCTCTGGAGTCCTGCAGACAGACCCTGCCACACGATGAGCTGTGACGTGGACCTATTTCTTTTTACTGGCTCTGCATTTGTAAACTGGAGATAAGAATTCCTATATCTTCCCAGGGGTTGTTTTAAGGATTTCAATTTAGAGACAACTTTAAAGCGCCTAGTAAAATGTCTGATATGTGTACATATCTCAATGATAACTGCTTTTGCGTCAGGATGCAAAGATGAAAAAAGCCCATTTTAGGGACAGGGGAGCAAATTAGGCTAACTGAGAAAATTCCGGTGAAGCTAACTAATGCTGCAGTTGAAATTCAGAATCACACCTAAGAATTAACCATCCTGGCTGCTGACACAAAGTAATGGATCAGAAGCTGAGTCATGTGAAAATTAAAAATGACATGCTACTTACTTCTATGTGTTCTTTACAGTATTCCAACCCAATGTCACTAAGTATTTTTTTCACAGTTTTCCGGGCTTTTCTTAAACTGCCAAGATTGTTGACAGGAAGTTGGAACATAGTTTCTATTGGAAAAAAAAATTCAAGTCAAAACATGTACAGCTTACAGTATTTGCTAATTTCACTGATGGTAGGATCACAAATCCTGGCCCAGACTGACAAAAAAGGTGAGTAGATATTCTTATCTAGTATGTTCTGAATACTGAGAAAAGGCAGGCAAAATAAACACTCTGATTTTTTCTATTTTTTAACAGTACATTTTATGAAGAGTCTGTGTCTAATCTGGCACAATTCTGATTAGGACTTAAGAAAAATCAGGTTGGTGATGAACTTAAAAGGTTGAAATTAGGTTCATACCAACCAATTATTTTAAAATTAAGAGCAAGTGCTTTTCTCTTTGTGATATTGAACTTCTGAAAACAAAAACATGTTCACCATTTCAGCATCATTACCACACAATTTTGAGTGCCAGGGAAAGGAAGGTTTTGCTGTCTGCAAACTGTTCTGTACATTGCTATGGTATTCTTAAAAAAAATATGCTTATAAGTTTCTGTATACTACCCCAACTAAAGACACTAGTGGTTGTGTAACGGCCCCAGCCAGCACCATACAAAGGCATTCACGTGTGTCCAGGAATGAATGCTGAGATGGTGAAAGCTGGGCACTCAGCATCAGAGCAAATGAGAACTGTTGTAGACTTTTAGGGGATCATTTTAAAAAATGAAAACCATTGTATGTGTGTGAGGGAATTGAAAATTTAAATGGCCTAATATTAAAAAGAAGGAATTTTGACCCACTTTCCCAAGTTCCTTAAAAACAAAGCTTAAGAAAAATAAAATTAGTAAAGACTTGGGCAGTTGATAAATTTGTATGGCTTCCAATGTGACCATAAATAATTCTTATAAAATACAGTGAGAACTTATCAATCATCAATTTAATAATATAAATCAATTTTGCAGGATACAAATTAGTTCTAAAAACAAAAATCGGGCAAAAACAAAGCCAAAACATCAGAATTAAAATTTAATACATGCAAATCTGGTTTTCTAATAAAAGCTGTTACTCTATACTACTGCTACCATTATTTTATAAATCACAAAGTCAACTAATCCAAATGTTTTAAGATATTACATCATTTATTCTAATCCAAAACACAGTATTAACTATGAAAAATGGAAAAGGAAAGAAAAGAAAAAAAAGTGAAGCCTACCGAAACAAACAATAACTCCTAGAAATTCTGAATCTGGATTAAGTTATCAGATCTTAGAAGTCTCCAAATTTTCTATAGTACCCAAGTGTAACTGAGGCCAAAAGAGAAATGTACTTCACTGAAAAACACCTCATCTTCAAGATGAAACTACTCCTACCTATGAAGCATGAGTACGGTGTCCTCTGTCACTGAATAATCTGTATATTACTTGAATCTAACAGCAGACTTAGAAGTCACTTCTGATAAAAATTAATGTGCATTCAAGGCCAAATCCATTGTTCCTTGTGGAAATTTTACTGCTAAATTGTTTAAAACCATCTTTTTGGTGGCTCAAAACCATAACTTAATAAAACAGTTCCCACAAACCAGGTCATTTCAGAACCATTTTATAGAAATAAAATCTCTAGTGGTCAAAAATCCAGTTCTTCTATCACATCCCAAATTAATCCTGTTTCACTTTAGAGCAGAGATGTGCCCAGAAGGCAGCCATTACTGGTTTTCCCTGCCTCCTGGATAAGCAGCTCGACATCTCAGCAAAACAAATACATGAAGATTTGGAAATGTTGCCACCACTGGGGCCACCAGTTTATACAGAAAACCTCCAAGGGAGTCAAACTGTAGTTCAGGCTAAAACGAAAACCCATCTTCCTATGGAAAAATACTATGCATTTTCTAAGTGCCCACACGTAGCTAACGTTGTCTTAAGACCTCAAAATGAAGTACATCATTGCATGGTAGGTACCCAATTTATACACCTACAGTTCTGAAAATGTGAGTACGTTCATAAGAGAGCTTATGTACATGAAATTGGTAGTTTGTAAAAAGTGGTATTTCAGCCATAGAGTAAATCTCAAGTTTACTTATTTAGCCTAATTAAATAGGCTAATAAATAGTGACACTACTTACTGGAAAATGCTGTACACAAATGGTTCTCTGTTCTGTATTAGCAACTAGGAGGGAACTCAAGTTAACATTTACACTGGAAGATGTAGAATATTCGGAATTAAGATTGTAACTGTCTTTACTAGAAGATTTCTGACATTTCTGAAGAATTTACGGGAAATCTATCATCTGCCCCTTACCCCAAACGTAGGGAACTCTCCATGTATATTTGTCTATGGAGGCCATTTCCAAGATTTTGTCCACCCGGAGCTAAAACACCACAGTTGTATGTGTTAGCATCCTCAAATGCATTTACAAAAATTCTTCTGGTTTCTGCTTTAAACACTTTTCTCAGTATACAAAACAGGCACACAGTACAGGGATACAAGCAAAAGCTCTCTCCTATGGCTGTCCTCCAGCTACACAGCTCCCCTTCCCAGAAGGAGCCACTGTTAATGTGTGTGGACTTATGGAGCTTTTCTAGGCCTGTATGAAGCCAAGGTTCCTTCAAAGAAAAGTCTCCAACAAATTCTACCAGTTAATGTTGGAATTCCTCCTCTCTACTCCTCAAGAGCCCTTTAAACTAAAAATCTGTTCAAGGACCCATACCTTAAGTGACAGAGGGGTTAGGAACAGAATAAACAGGAAATCGACTGCCTGAGATTAGGGTTGTTAACTCACTTTTGAATAGAAAGACAGCTAAAATCAAAACATTTACAATCATTACTCTTACGGAGGAAGATGTCTTAACAATGTCAAAACTTGTCTAGAGATGGGCTCTGAAATGAACAAGATGGATGGGCTTACTTTTTCCCTAAGTGGTGAATCCTCTGTCTTGAGCCTCCTTGGCTATCAGGATGGCAGTTTTCACTAGGTCAGCACCATTATCTCAACACCAAGGAGAGCTCCCTTTGGCTAAACCATAAACCTCTCAGCTAATGGCAAAAAAGGGAAAATATCCTATTTAATAGAACAGAGCCACTGCTTATCTGTTCAGCAATCACTTTTGGAGCACCTACACTTTGCCAGTTAAGGTGCCAGGAACAGAGGGATGGATAGGACACAGTTTTTCCCCTCAACCATCCACTGCTTCCACTGCTTCTAGAGGACAGGCCCTAGAGCAGGTGCTGGGTCACTGGAGTAGAGCAGTTGCTTGTTTCTGCATGCCCAACTTCCTCCTGGAACCACTCCTGCTTGCATGTTAAGTGCTGTTAGTTAAGAGGCCCTTTCGTCATGAGAGCAGGGTGTACATGACCCAGGTGGACCAATCCTATCTCTGCAGACACTGATTAGTACTGAGCTGGATATGTGCCCCAAAAAGGGCTAATAGTGATGCTGAAAAGTAGAGTCAGGACCTATCACTACATGGAGAAAGCAGAGGGGAGGTGGGAAAGACTCCTGTTGACTGCTTAACATCCTCAACTAGCTGTGCCTAAGAGAGAGCACCTCCCACAGGCTTTTCATAAATGGCAGGAAACAAATCATTTTTACTTAAGCTTTGGTTCATGTCACTTGTACTGGTAAACCCACTGGGTAGTGGGACATAGAGCAAGTGACTATGTAAGAGGAAGATGAGGAACTTTATGCAAAATAATTATACTTGTGAATTGGGTCTAGCAGGTAGAACAGGAATTTGCCAGGAACATGTAGTTATTCTGAAAGATGTTTTAGTCCCTGGATTTCATTAATCACAAACAAAACACTGTATGGAAAGAGTCAAACACTTCTTAAATTCTAAAAATCTTTGGTGTGAAAGTTCAATAACATATTAATAATGGAGTTAATATATACAAGTGTTTTATTAACAAGTGAAAATAAATAGCTTTTGGGTAAGCATATGCCATCTGATCAACTAGACTTAAGTCATCAATTTTTGAGACTGATTTAAATTCATTTTTGAATGATTCTGCCATGTTTTCCTATCTATCTTTGCAAATTATACCCCCATCTGCTGACTAAGGCCAAAACATTAAATCTTACTAATCCAGGCTAAACTCCTATTCATGTGTTTTCTTAGAAAGCAAAAGTCAGATGGCTAAAATGAGAGATTGTAGCCCTAGGCTACAGAAGAATTAAAATAATATAAATTATATATGACTGATCAAATACACACACTTCTTTTTCCCTTCAAATACCAAAAGCAAAAATACTCCTTTACTCTAAGTACAAAGAATGTAAACAAAGGTAGAGAGAGCCTGTCTCATGGGAATTATCTGCAGGCTGAATTTGTACATGGGAAGAATGATGATACATCAATGACTGTGGACTTTACTTAAGCAGAGGTCATTACTAAGAAACAGAACTTTTTATGAAACACCACTCTGCCAAAAGGCTTGGATCTAGTCAAGTGTTACACTCAGTCTCTTTGGGTCAGGAAGATGGAAGGGAACTCAACAGATGACAAGGCTGGTTCAACAGGCTCAAGACAAAGTTTGCAGGGCTGAAGGCACCAAGAATCAATGAGGCTTGTCCTATGTATAGTAGCCCCTCTGCAAAACCATCAGATCAGGGACAGCACTTAAGTCCTTGTTTTTAGAAGAAAAAAGGCATGTGTAACTATGCCTTCAGAAAATAAAGCAAAACAAAGAAAAAACAAAATCCAACCATAAAACTTTGACCAGGCACAAATAATCAAACAAGCCAGGAGGACAAAACAAACAAAAACAAAAACACCTCCACACCAAACATCTCCAGATTACATTTTTATCTACTCCAAATGTGGGTCTACCATGGCATTTTCTAGTATATAATTTATTTTTATGTGCATTCTTATATGATGTTTCCCAAGTTCCAAAAAGAACATATTGTGCTAAGTTACCATGGTAGAAAACACAGAAGTAAACACGATAGTGTGCTCTAGTTTCTATCACCTGCAGGTGTAACTGCTCCTTTCTAATATTTGAAAACTGAAATCTGAACATATACCAGAGTGGCAGCCGGCGCCAGCGATACTAGTGAATGCGAATCTACAAC